ACACCCGCTTTAAGGACACTGACTGCTATTCAATCTATAACAGTGAAAAAGATTTTTTTTTTTTTAAATCCAAGCTATTGTGACACCAGATCTAATTAGTGGCACTGGTCAGCGTATCCACTGTTAGCGTAACACACCCGCTTTAAGGACACTGGCTGCTATTCAATCTATAACAGTGAAAAAAGTGTTTTGTTTTTTTAAATCCAAGCTTTGTGTCACCAGATCTAATTGGTGGCACTGGTCACCGTATCCACTGATAGTGTAACACACCAGCTTTAAGGACACTGACTGCTATTCAATCTATAACAGTGAAAAAGTGTTTTGTTTTTAAATCCAAGCTATTGTGACACCAGATCTAATTGGTGGCACTGGTCACCGTATCCACTGTTGGCGTAACACACCCGCTTTAAGGACAATGACTGCTATTCAATCTATAACAGTGAAAAGAGTGTTTTGTTTTTAAATCCAAGCTATTGTGACACCAGATCTAATTGGTGGCACTGGTCACCGTATCCACTGTTAGCGTAACACACCCGCTTTAAGGACACTGACTGCTATTCAATCTATAACAGTGAAAAAAGTTTTTTGTTTTTAAATCCAAACTATTGTGTCACCAGATCTAAGTGGTGGCACTGGTCACCGTATCCACTGTTAGCGTAACACACCCGCTTTAAGGACACTGACTGCTATTCAATCTATAACAGTGAAAAAAGTTTTTTTGTTTTAAATCCAAGCTATTGTGACACCAGATCTAAGTGGTGGCACTGGTCACCGTATCCACTGTTAGCGTAACACACCCGCTTTAAGGACACTGACAGCTATTCAATCTATAACAGTGAAAAAAGTTTTTTGTTTTTAAATCCAAGCTATTGTGACACCAGATATAAGTGGTGGCACAGGGCAGCGTATCCACTGTTAGCGTAACACACCCGCTTTAAGGACACTGACTGCTATTCAATCTATAGCAGTGAAAAAAGTTTTTTGTTTTTAAATCCAAGCTATTGTGACACCAGATATAAGTGGTGGCACTGGGCACCGTATCCACTGTTAGCGTAACACACCCGCTTTAAGGACACTGACTGCTATTCAATCTATAACAGTGAAAAAAGTTTTTTGTTTTTAAATGCAAGCTATTGTGACTCCAGTGAGTGGTGGCACTGGGCACCGTATCCACTGTTAGCTTAACACACCCGCTTTAATGACACTGGCTGCTATTCAATCTATAACAGTGAAAAAAGTTTTTTGTTTTTAAATCCAAGCTATTGTGACACCAGATGTAATTGGTGGCACTGACTGGGGAAATGGGCACAGTATGCACTGTGAGCCTGACACAGAAGCTGGCAGCAGTGTCAGACAACTGACTGCTATTCAATCTATAACAGTGAAAAAAGTTTTTTGTTTTTAAATCCAAGCTATTGTGACACCAGATGTAAGTGGTGGCTCTGACTGGGGAAATGGGCACAGTATGCACTGTGAGCCTGACACAGAAGCTGGCAGCAGTGGCAGACAACTAAGTGCAATTACATTACATAGAAAAATAAAATTAAAAAAAAGCATACCCTAACCCTAACCTAGCTATGCTTTTCCCTATCTAATGAACAGCAGCTACACTTTCCCTCCTCTTACTAAGCATGCAGCTTGAGAATGAATGTAAAATGGATGCCTTCCAGGAGGTAGGACGGTCTGCTAGGGAGGGTGTGCTGCTAATTGGCTGGAATGTGTCTGCTGACTGTGAGGTACAGGGTCAAAGTTTACTCAATGATGACGAATAGGGGGCGGGTCGAACCGCGCATATGTTCGCCCGCCGTGGCGAACGCGAACATGCTATGTTCGCCGGGAACCATTCGCCTGCGAACCGTTCGGTACATCACTACTGAGCAGGTAAGAAGAGCATTTTTTTTTCTCTCCATTTCAGACATTACCAGCCTCTTATATTCAAAATAACCTTGTGTTGCTCCCTGGAGGGACTGATCACTGACTACTGAAAGGCAGCATTTGGGAGATATTTATCTGCACTTTATACATCAGAGCAATACCTAAGTTGCTGATCCGGGACGCCGTGAGCAACCCAAGGTTTGCACCTTGTATGCACTTTCGGTACCAGTTTGCAGACATACATTAACGTAGTCTGATTACTACTACTCCGAATTTTATTTGGAAATTGTTTTATTTTGAATTTTTAAGAAAACACCGATGTCTAGCTTATAGCTAGGATCTTAATAAAGCCAGTTTTATTTTCGATATATTTGGATTGGTTTTTCTGATGCATTGAAATAGAAGTTATTAATTCACTTTTTTCTCTGCATTTTTTATATATTCATTTTGGTCTTGGAGCCACTATATTGAAGAAAATATCCGGAATAAAGGGATTTGAACGGACTAATACTGGACTTTACTATTCAGTCTTTTATATTTACTATATGAGATCTCTGTTTATTGTTATTACGAGATATTACTGTTTGACAGTTTTATTTCACACGATTACAGCAAGATATTGCAATCAGAGGTTTAGGGGTATAGTTTTTCTATTTGTGCATATTTTATTTAATAGGTCGTTAGGTTTCCTATTCTTTATACCCTCCTCTGAATCAAATTCACTTATTCAGCGCTCCACTTTCTTAATATTTTAACTATAAGGGACACTCAGGGGGATCATTCTAAACAAATAAAACCATTTTGGTAAGATGTAAGACTTAATAATATTAATACGACCCCACCACAAAAATTCTAAATTCTTCCAACCCTTTAGGAGTTAATTCATTTTAATAAGCAATGGGAGAAAATTGATCTCTACTATTTTCAGTGGATCAGCACATATATTAATTCCTAAATAATTAAATGATTTTTCGACCTATATGAAATTAAGTTTCTTCATAATCTCATTTTCTTCTTCTTTATTTACATTTACAGCTAAAATAGATAATTTTTCTATATTTATTTTGTATCCAGAAACCTGGGGAAATCTCCCAATGGTTTCCATGAGTTGTATTATAGATTGTAGAGGTTTTTGTATTGTTAAGATGACGTCATCAGCGTATAAATTTATTTTTATATTTACTTTATTAAAATCAAAACCTACTATCCTCTCCTCTTGTCTTATGGCTAAAGCCAAAGGTTCTAATGCCATGATATAAAGTAACGGAGACAAGGGACACCCTTGTCTTGTTCAGTTTAGCAATGAGAACCATTCAGATCCAAAGCCATTTCCTACAACTCTAGCCATAGGTACTGTATAAAGAGCTGAGATATTCTGGAAAAGTCTTCCCTCTAACCCGAATGCCTGAAGGGTTTGCCTCATAAACTCCCAGTTGATCCTGTTAAATGCTTTTTCGGCATCTAAAGACAGGGCCAACATGGGAGCCCCCGTTCTTGTCGCGTGGTTCAAAACATCAGTCTTCTTATATTATGGGTAGATGATCTACCAGGGACAAACCCCACCTGATCTCTATCTATCACGTCTGGTATAATCCTTTCTAAATGTTCTGCTATCATAGCCGAATAGAGCTTTATATCGGTATTTAGGAGGGAAATTGGGCGATAGTTCTTGATTTTTTCTATATCTTTTTCTTGCTTAGGAATTATTTTTTTACTGTCGTTTTACTGCCATGTGCTTAATGGAGTTTTGCCTCTGTCTTTGGAGATAATTAGATTATTTCCCAATTATCTCCAGGATAGAAGACTCTGTGGAACTGGTTTTGGTCAGAAAAGCCATGCTTCCTTTGTTCACAATGGACTACGATCTATCTTTTGAACCACTGGACCAATTTGGATGATTTTGATATATGTTCGTATGCTGATTCGGAAAATGTAAGTTTTATGTGAATGTGATGCATACTTTTAAAGTTATGAATAATGTGGAAAAACTGTATTTCTCTGTCTGTGATAATTATATTACCCATTGTGTAAGGTAATTGTATCACAGGTAGAGGGGAGGATTTTGTGTGGGAGTGTCTGAGTGTATTGTACGTGTTTATTGGTTGTTTTCCAAACCCTGTGGGTGGTATTAATGTGTATATAAGAACAATAAACCCACAGCTCTGTCTGTTCCTGCTTGACCCTCAAAACAGAGCCTTGTCTCGTTCTTGGGGGGATTTATTGTATGCTGTTCCAGTTTGACTGCTAGGAGTGTAAACCTTTCGTATGGTTTTTCCTATTCGGCTGTTTATAGCATTCGTATGTTTGAGAGCATTCATGTGCTTCTCCGGTTCAGTGGATTGGTGTCTACAGTAGCTGTGCCTGTGTCTCTGGAAGGGGAAGATCTACTAAACGGCGGTTTAACCCTTTTATGCCTGGGGGTGCCGTAACAGACAAAATGAAGCAGTCTGTACTCAGTAACTCAGACTACACCAACTGGATGCATTTTCTTGGTGTCCCCTGATGTAGGAATGAGTTAAACTCCGTGAAACAGAAGGGAGCACCTCTAGTGACAGCCACTAGAGTGAGTCTTAACTCTGCAATATAAACGTTGCAGCTTCTCAGAAACTGCAATGTTTTAGACTGCAGGGTTAATGGGACAGGCATGCTGTACTAAGACACCTATAGTGTCCCTTGAACACCAAAAATAAGCCTTCCCGAGTCAGTTCTCTGATTTCCGATGAAATCTGACTGAGACATTAATAGGAGATTTTAAATTATTTATAAAAAAAAATTTTTTAGTTACTTTTTCAATTCAGTCATTTTGGTTTATTTTGCAAATCACTTGTTAATTCAATGTTAAGTGAATAGACTCTTTAGTGCAGTGTGTTTCTATAGTAAAGACTTAGAGATGAATGATTTGATGGCTGTAATGTGTCTGCGATAGATGCTAAATTTCATACTGAGTGCAGTAATACCTCACACACTCTGTTAAACTAGGATGTAGTCTCAGACAGATTGCTAGAACAATGATTGGATTGAGTTTATTTTGAAAAGCAATGTTCAACATAAGTGTAAAATCACAAAATGGAATTGTAAGATTCACAAATGTATAAACTAACTTTACAGTTCCTTCTCGCATCCTTGTACAATGTTCGGAGGTGACAGAATATAATTTGGAATCACGCTAGCATATCTCATCTCTGTCTGGCCTCTGCAATATGGATCTTCATCTGAATCTGGACCTGTCTAGCATATGGCTCCATTTAATACTGTCTCTTCTCAGGCTCTCTTCATTGTCACCTTGTCAGCCTCTCTCAGAGCATGTTTTTTTTCTTGTGAATATGTGCTTCTTTTTGCTTTGCAAAGACTTTACTTAACTCTTTAAGCTTGCATTGAAGTCTGCAGAAGAGAACCCAACAGCAAAAGACACAACAAATCGGTTCACTTACTTGAATTATATATTATACATATATGACAAGGGAAAAACAAGATATACATAAGAGCATAAATAGAGAAAGGAAAACTCATAGGGTAATAACGTTAGTCGTAATAAACCCCAATTTCAAAGTTGCACTCAGAGATTAGCCGAAAATTCAGGCTCATCAATAGTATGTAGAATCCCACAGATACATCATTGTTTACGTATCCAGTAATGCATGCAGGAAGATATAAAAAACATAGCGCAGTCTTCGGTTTCCCCATGTAGTGCTTCAAGATATCGCAGAGAGTCCAGATTCAATCATTAGAGTCCAAACAATCACATTAAAACGATATATGAAGAGGTGTCAGTAACAATATATAAAAAAAAATAATTGTACCAGCGTACAAATATAGATATGAATCCATAATGGCCAGGTATATTTATAAAACAAAAAAAATTAATATTAACATAACACATGCTTCAAAGTTGGTATAAAGAAACAAAAATGTAGAAAATAGACATAGAACAGCCCTAAAGGTGATGTAAAGGGGGGGAGGGGGGGGGATGGGGGGTTCTGGAGACACAGATTTAAGAAAATATATACAAATAGTATATGAAAAAATAAATAAATAAAAATAGATACATTATAAAAAATAATAAAATATATAAAAAAATATATAAAAAAATATATAGGGGGCAGAGCTCGTCTACTGACTTGACCAGACGCCATTTCCAACAGCTCCTCAATTTCTCACCTAATCCTGCTAATATCAGCCAACCTGCGCGCAATCCAGCCTCCACACGTACCCAGCCAGATTCAGAAGGGCAAGGGGATCCGATCAATGCCTTTCTTTCAGGCACCGAAATCAGCCCGGAGGAAGCACGTGCCTGGGGACATCTGAATGATTCAAAGGAGAACTGGATGAAAGAGTTGTGGTCAGATGAAAACAATAATCAAGCTCTTTGGCATCAACTCAACTCGCTGTGTTTGGAAGAGGGAGAATGCTGCCTATGACCCCAAGAACACCATCTCCACCATCAGACATGGAGGTGGAAACATTATTTTTTTTTTTACTAAGGGGACAAGACAACTGCACCGCATCAAAGCAACGATGGACAGGGTCGTGTACCGTGAAATCTTGGGTGAGAACTTCCTTCTCTCAGCCAGGGCATTGAAAATGGGTCATGGATGGGTATTTCAGCATGACAATGACCCAAAACACACAGCCAAGGCAACAAAGGAGTGACTCAAGAAGAAGCACACTAAGGTCCTGGAGTGGCCTAGCCAGTCTCCAGATCTTAAACCCATAGAAAATCTGTGGATGGAGCTGAAGGTTCGAGTTGCCAAACGTCAGCCTTGAAACCTTAATAAGTTGGAGAGAATCTGGGACAAAATCACTCCTGAGATGTGTGCAAACTTGGTGACCAACTACAAGAAACATCTGACCTCTGTGATTGCCAGCAAGGGTTTTACCTACTAAGTCAAAGGGGTCAAATACTTATTTCACTCATTGACATGCAAATCAATGTATAACTTTTTTGACGTGTTTTTCTGGATTTTATTTTTTTATTCTGTCTCTCACTGTTAAAATACACTTGTTATTAAAATTATAGACTGATCATTTATTTATCAGTGGGCAAACATTCAATATCAGCAGGGCATCAAATACTTTTCCCCCCTCACTGAACATTTAATTTAGTTTCAATTTACATTTTACTTTCCAGATGTAGTTTTCCACTTGTCACAGTAATCAATGGGTCTTCTCATTACCTTAATTAACCTTTAATATCCACTAATGGCACTGTGCATTTTCAGTGGCTGATAGAATGTTTGAGAAATTACATTTTCTTGCATTAGTTATACCATGCCTTAATTTGGTTCACACGCCATCTTGTGGAACATTTAAGACAACATGTATTTACTGAATGAAATTGAGTATCTTCAAGTATTAAACATGGATTATATGAAAGGATCATTATATGTAGCAAGGCTAGTTCATATTGTCAAATGGGAGAAAAGGTGGTAAAGATATTGACTAATGTATTAAAAATACATTGTTAGTATGAGGTTGGCATGATGTGGGTGCTGAGCCCTGTAGTTTTAGTCCTGCGATATAATGTAGTATACGGTAATGTTTCATTGCAGGGCTGAACACACCGTTCGTTGCTGTTTTCCTGACAGCCACTAGAGGGGGTTTCCACTGTAGTAGCCGAGTCAAATTCAGTTGTTTAATCAGTACTTCTCAAAAAGAGCAGATAATTGGACAAGGCCAGTGCTTGTTGCATGCGTTTTCATTCCTAAAGGAACACTAGAGTCACCATCTTACTATAAGGGGTTAAACCATTTAAAATGATTATTTTATTATTATTATTATTATTATTATTTATATTGCACCATCAGATTTCGTAACACTGCACAATGGGTGGACTAACAGACAAGTAATTGTAACCAGACAACTGGATGTACAGGAATAGAAAGGTGGAGGGCCCTGCTCAATGAGCTTACATTCTAGAGGGAGTGGGGTATAGTGACACAAAGGGTAAAAGTAGGGGCACGAAGTAGGTTGTTAGAAAAGTATTCATTGAGGACCTAGTAGGTAATTTTTGACAGTTGCAGGAGAGGTTTAATGGTTTAAACTGAAGTTTTTGCCCTGAAGGTACGTTCTCTTTGCCTCCTTTCTCCTACTGTGGACCAGGCAGTGATCTGGAAGGTTTTCCATGGCAGTTAGAGGTAGGCTAAAAGTGGTGCCAACCATAATGAGTAATAGTATTGTAATGGATCTCCAATACTCCAGCTGAGTATATCCGCTGTAGTTCTCCCAAATCCCTGGTGAAGCAGTGATTATAGCTCCCAATTCCCCAAACATCAGCCTAGACTTGATGAAGGGTAGAAACTAATGTGTTTAATCATGGCCAAATGGCCCAATTATATACAAAACAAAGATGCAGTAATATACGCCCAAAACACTCCCACAAAATGTACACAAATTCCTGTGTCAGAGTGACTCGGCATAAAAACATAAAATATCAAAATACATTATAAAATATATTTTGAAGTGTTTTAAACCGCGAACCAACTTGTCTGGGAACTGCACAGTCACCTCATGACGAAATGAGTTCCATAGTGGTCGCGGCTAAATACCGCTGGGACTATTTGTTGGTTTGGTTCTCGCAAACGTCCACCAGAGAGCTAGCGTTCGGTTCCATTCGCATGAAGGAAAATGCAGAACCAGGGACACTCAGGGCAAGCTACTAATGGTGGTTGGGGGCTACTAATGGCGGTTGGGGAGATTTAACTCCCGAACAGGGTCTTGGAATATGGTCCATAGTCCTGGGGCAGAAGGCTAGCAAGCAGGCTCCTCCAGGAGCTTGTGGCAAATGTCCAGGGTAAGGAGCGTTTGTCACAAGTATGTACTGTTACTCGTAATGGGTGGCCTGTGATAGCACATAGGGTCAACTGCTGCCAAGGCAAAATCTTCCTATTCACTATGCAGGCCAGGGGAGGAGACAGGAGCCCTGAAGGTAAGAGGTGCCATAGAATTCCTAATGATGATTGGGGATGGGCTATGTTTGAGAAGAAGACCTTAGTATATGGTAGAAGTGTTGGATATGTGCAGGTTATCTTTTTTTCTGTCATGCACCTTGTTCATTATGTATTTTGGCAAATGGGATGTTGTTAAGACACGAAAACAGGGTTTTTTAATTAGCAATCTCTAACTTAAGACCTTAGTTAGGACAAGTAGACATTCATAACTTTCATATTGCTTGGGGACGAACAATGCCTTTTTGCACTGTTGGACACTATAAATTGTATGTGCAAGAAGAATTCATCAGAGATCCTTTATTGCTGCATGGTTCAATAAAGTTTAAACTTACCTATTTCAAAGCACTATAATCATTTCATCTTATGAATTGGTTATGGTTCCTGGATTCCCCTTGTGCTGTCTCCCCATTCACTGTTAACATTTCAAGCAGTAAATCACTATAATGTGCCCAGAAAAAAATGTATCATCTGCCTGTGTCAGATAACAATCCATACTCAACAAGCGATACATTGGGAGACATATTGGACAGTTCACCAAGGATTACATTTCACAGATACCTACTTCATGATACAAATTTGCCAATATCCTCATATAAAAATAAACTATTCTGAGACACTTGCGTAACACAGCTAAGTCCCTGGTACCTGCCCTCTGGAAAAAACAGGTGAATCCCACCAAACAAAATGTGTTGAATTGGTTTGTGGAGATTAAAACTGCAGAACACATGGTGGTCTCCTTGCAAGGTAGGATTCTCAAACAGAAACAAAGAAACAAAAATTCACAAACTGAATATAATGCTGACTGGAGATAAAGACGTAGGCACCAAAGCATCCAGTGGTTTAAGGCTACTCCCATGCCCAAGTAAGTGAGGAGATACAGTTACTAAACACCTAAGTCTGCAATATTCATATAGGCTTTATTAGTTCTGGCCCTTTAATGCATAAGGTTCGGTATTTATTATTATTTGGAGTCACTGTTTATTTCTGTGTTTATACTTTCTGTTACTTCAAATATTTAGTGTTCTCCCTCTGGTTACATTGTTCCATACCACTGGATGCTTTGGTGCCTACATCTTTATCTCCAGCCAGCATTATATTCAGTTTGTGAATTTTTGCTTCTTGGTTTCTGTTGCTGGTATCTAGGGTTAAGCCCTTGGGCATTGCTGGAGTGCCCTCCTGATGCATGGGATCAGTGTGGAGGGGGTGTTTATTCCCTTTTACACCCATTTTCACGTGGATCCTTTTTATTTTTATTTTTTCAGGATTCTCAAGCACACTGAACAATATTTACCGTGGGAAGTGTACATGCCCTGACTAGGAGGGAATGCAGAGACAGAAAATAACAGGCACACTTAGAACATCATGTAATTAAAGGGAAATATTTTGATCCAGTGATCACTGTCTGGTCAGGATATAGATGGTTAACTTATTAGGTTGTAAGAGATTCGGAGGGGGAGAGAAGGCTGGGGATGGGGTCAATTTTTAATGCAGGCGGGACGTGGATGCTACTTAGTTATTCAATACTCTTTATCTTATTGATGTTTTTTACACTACTTTATTCAGACATTGCACACTAACAAAGTTTTTATTCTGATATTTGACTAGGAAGATATTGATACCACAACGAGGTACTAAGAAACTTGAACTAGATTGAAAGTACTCAAACTAAACAAATTCTGTACAATTAAAGGACAAGTGTTCAATGTAGTCCTAGTCATTTAATTGTATGATATGATTTAGTTTGCAATAATGTTGTCCATCTGTTTAACAGTTTAATGATTGTTAAATTACTTCACAAATGTTGATCCTGATGTTCTATGTCACTTATTTCTTATCATGTGATTTCTTTCTTTGTGGAAAAAGTGAAAATGATCAATAAAACACAGATTTAAAAAAAAAAAATGTATAATAGAAGGGAAAAAAATTCTACCTTAACCTAGGATTTTTAATATTATGCTTTAGCTATTTGACTTAAATGTTGCAAGTTGCTTTTTCAACTGTGTTTATTGATATAAGGGTTAGGTGTGGTGGAGAATACGATCTGTGGGAAAGCACTCCCGGGTGAGAACACAATGACTAGTAAAGTCTTTTGGTATGACAAGAGTTGTCAGCGTTGTAGTGGCAGTACGGAAGGCTCTACTGAAAGCAAAATGCAAAATAAGTTAAACCAAAAGACTATAGTCTGGGGCATTATTTAAAGCTGGCAACTAGAAGGAAATACATGCACAGAAAGGAATTAGGAAAACCACTAAGCAACTAGCAAGATATAAGCTTCTTGCATGGAGCACAGAAAAAAATCTTAAAGGCCCAGGGTCTTTTATAGATTTTACCATTTACAGAATCCCATCCCTCATGTTTTTTAGCACTTCAGACTGTGGCAGTGAATTTAGTAGTGAGACTGCAGAGGCATGATCAATACAATAAAACTGCTTCATTATGGTAAAGTTGTTTTGGTTACTATAGTAACCCTTTAAGCTTGCAGCAGAGCTGTGGTGCCCAGCTTGGCAAGCTCAACCCATCTTGGAAGAGCATTGCGCAGATGCTGAGCAACAAAACATGGTCAAAATTGATATAGGCAGGCAGGGACACTTGGTCCTGGCATCCTGGCTTCCTGGTGAACCATCCAAGCAGCACTTTTTTGTAAATTCCTGCAAACCACATTCAGAATGGACAATTAGTGCAAGGTGCTCAAGGCAAAGTTTTTATGATGCTAAGAATTACCTGTTTGGCAGCCACAACACTAGCGCTATGATCAGCCGCATGAGTACCCAACTCCGGCAACTGGCCTGCATTACAGCAATCCCTTACCGCAAAAAGTAGTGATCTCCGGTTCCCAACAGCACTACCAGATCAAGAAACCCATGGGGAAACTCCCGAAAGTTTCGGAGGGTCTAGCAGGGGACAAACCCGCGATATTGGACTATTCCTCTCACGACCTCCAGCGCCCAAGATGGCGGACACATTCCTAGACCTACCTTGAGGATTTTCCTCAGCTTCCGATGAGGAAGACCAGCTCTTACCACAGCTGGGGGGCAACCGAGCTTTGTCACTAGGCAGAATGGAACCTCCATTAGCCACCAAACAGGATTTAAACACCATGGTGGCCCACCTTAAAGCATTTGCATATGAGATAGGCACACTAAAGAAAGAAATTGGCACACTGTCTGGCTGCATTCAAGCTACAGAAGATGACATTAAAGGCCTAGGACTTTGCAGCTGCAACCCAAATACAAGATCTAACCGACCAGTGCACATTATTGAATGTGGGCCAGCTGGAAGATAATGCAAGACAGCGTAATCTGAAGGTGAGAGGGATCCCAGACACCATAGATGCAGGTGAACTGCCATAATTTATCAGGCGTTTGTTCTCTTCCACGCTGTAATATTAACAGGCTAAAGGCCTAACCCTGGATGACCTCTATCACTTACCCAGACGACCTTCCACCAACCCCCCCCCCAGTGATGCAATACTCTGCTTTCGATCACGGGCCGACAAGGAAGTACTTATGGCCACAGTCAAAGGTCAAACGCCATATATGTTTGAACAAAACTCACTTAGCTTTTACCACGACCTCAGTCAACCGACACTACAATGGAGGGCTTCCCTGCGAGAAGTGACCACTCAGCTGAGAGCCGCAGATGTCCCATACAAGTGAGGTAACCCACAAGCCCTTATTGTGGAGAAGTAGACTACAGACTGACCTCAATGGCGAACGCACACATTCATGCAATCAGTGGGACTCACCATGCCAGACAAAGGCCGGCCGACTGACAGACCTACACACCGCTGGGATGTGGACAACATAGCGATCTTCACACCAATCAGCTCCACTGCTCCAGGCTGTGCAAACAATGGCAAAAGTGCAACAGGAATTGCACACCTACACCTATGTTAATGTTGATGTTCATTGTTTTTCTTTGCCTTTGTTTTTACTTACATTTTATTTTATTCTTTGAACACTGTGAATAGCATGATGCTATACATATGTTGGAAGCTCACTGAGAGCTGTAGGGCTATACGAATGTTGTGCCTATATTTTAGTCCGCCTATAACTCTATGATCAGTGAGGCACTGTCTGTTATAATATTGACCCTATTTCCTATGTCTTTGCAACTAAGAATCTTTATTTGAAAACTGCAGATTTAAGGTATGGACTGGGATCCAGAAGATACCTTACCAGATTTCTTCCACGTTTTTACTACATATTAATTTACTATTACAATGTTACCATTTTTACTTCTAGTTTACTACTATAATATTTGTACTTGCAGTTACCTGTAGTAATTCATAATCTTGCTGATAGGATTTAATAGGCAAATATTTTAATATGTGCAACAAATGTCTGTCTAGTCTGTCCCCCCCTCCCTGCTTGCCCCTCCTAGCTGTAAATTCCTTTATATAACTGTGCATCCTTCTTCCTCTGGCCTAATTTAACTTCCATATTTGAACTAAGAATCTTAATTTCTACTCTGCTCTACCCACCCACCCTGGTTCCTTCTAACTATATAGCATGACTCCTCCATCTGTTTCCAACCACAGTCGATCACATCCTCATTCCCTTCACATGTTATCAATCACTGCACTCACACTATAAATTATCTCTGCCATCACCTTTAATTTCCTCTGCTACATCTTGTCTCATTTCCCTATTTTACCTTTAGATTGTAAGCTCACGGGCAATCTAGCTAGGCACTTTGTATAAAAGAGCTTCAATGGCTCAGCTTACGGGCAGGGCTCTCTCTACCTTTTGTTTTTGTCTGTGTATAGTGTACGTCCTCCACTTATTTTACAGCACTGTGGAATCTGTTGGCTCTTTAAACATACAAGTAATAAATAAATATGTGGCCCCTCACAGCACTTCTCTCCCTCCCCATCCCCCCTTGAGTTCTGAGGTCAAGGAGCTTAATACCATTATTCTTCTATACATACCACCATGCCTAAGGCATGCCCATACGCATAGTATACCCTTATCAGGTTCTTAATTGATCTATGCAGAGTGCTCTACAAGCTAACACTAATACACAGGTTCACTTACAGTTAACTCTCATTTTACCTTCAGGAGATGGATAGCAGTCCCTTACTAATCCCATATGGCCTACACAGGTATCCATCCAATAAAAAGATACAAGTGAAAAGACAATTGTATAGAAACTAGGACATATTTCAAGAAGGTTGATATCAATGGCTATATCGACACATTAAGCTGTCACCATCGCCCATGGCTACATAACACCCCAAAGGGACAGTTCTTACATCTTTATAGGAACTGTAGTGATAAAAAGATATTTGATGAACAGGCGTCCGTTCTTAAAAAGAGATTGTTAGAGAAAAACTATGATCCATATAAAATGGAGGAACATATTACTAACATTAAGCTCCTAGATAGAGACTCAATCATAAGGAAAAGAAATGACAATAAAGAACGTAATCAAGAAAACAATCAACAAATCGCACTAATTCAGAATTTTAGTGAAGATGCAAACCAGATCAAGCATATAATAAATAGATATTGGAACATCCTTAAAATTGATCCCAACCTAAAAGAACTTTTAGGGGGAAAAAACGCATATAATATATAGAGGAGCTAGGAATTTAAAATAGTACCTAACTACTAGTTTTATCAACTATTCTTAAAAAACTAAATTTCACAGATTTTATTTCTTATTCAACACAAAAGAATTTTAAAATCAAACAGGTCCTTACATGTCACTCCAATAATGTTGTACTCTGGTGCACTTGTGGTCTACAATATATTGGTATGACCACAAAGACATTCAAAAAAAGAATAGCGGAACATATGGCAACATCCAGAGGGGGTATACAAAGCATAGTATTTCTGCTAATTTTTTAGAGAAACATAGGAGTGACCCGGCATTATTAACGTGATTAAAAAAAACAAAAAACTGAAAAACTGGAGAGGGGAAGATAATGTAAGGGAACTGGCTATAATAGAGCGCAAATGGATTTTTAATATGCATACATCATCTCAAAATGGTCTTAATCTAGATTTTGAATTTAAACATTTTATTTAGCCGTTTTCTTTTTTTATAAAACAATATAATTTTTCTTTTTCTCCCTTGTACACTTCTATATCTATATATACTATATAGAGTGGAGACCTCCCCTTTTTCAATTACTGTTTCTTATAACTTAAAGGACCACTATAGCCAGGGACATTTTAGCCACGAGGCAAACAAGGCATTTGCCTTGGGCGGCATTTTCCAGGGGGCGGCAAAAAAAGCCACCCCCAAATGCACAGGGCAAATGCCTTGTTAGCCTTGCGGCTAACAGTCCAGGCAGGCAGGTGGTCGGGCTGGCGGGCGGCGCTGGCGAGGGAGCACTTTCCCCTGAACTGTTCGCTCAGCTGCCTCGGCGCGCCTCAGAGTGATGCCGGGAGCCGGAATATGACGGCATATTCTGTCTCCCAGCATCACTCTGCGGGCGGCGCGAGGGAGCTGAGCAGAGCGCTCAGTGGAAAGTGCTCCCTCGCCAGCGCTGCCTGCCCAGCAGCCAGCCAGCCCGCCCGCCCAAAAGCCCCACTAGACCCCAGGGAGAGGAAGAAACCCCCAGCATTCCCAAAGGTAAGGAGGCTGGAGGGAGGTTAAATAAAAATAAAAAAAAAGTGAGTGTGTTAATGTGAGTGAGTGTCTGTGTGTGTCTTTTAGTGTGTGTCTTTTAGTGTGTGTGTCTGTTAATGTGTGTTTGTCTGTTAGTGTGTGTGTGTCTGGGAGTGAGTGTGAGTATGTGTGTCTGTTAGTGTGTGTGTGTGTTTGTTTCTGTTAGCTAGTGTATGCACAAAAACCAGGACAAAACCAGGATACACCACTGACTATAGGCACCCAGACCACTTCAGCTTAGTCTGGATGCCAGGCCCAGCTAGGTTTAACCCCTTTTTGCTGTAAACAGAGCAAAAAAAGCCGCCCCCAAATGCCCAGGGCAAATGCCTTGTTAGCCTTGCGGCTAACAGTCCAGGCAGGCGGGTGGAATGCTTTCCTATGGACTGGCTGAATGCGCACACAGCTTTTGCCGCGCATGCGCATTCAGCCAGGGACGTCAGAAGAGGGTGAGGAATCAACCCCTTACTCCCCTTTCAGCGCCACGGGAGTGGGACCCTGAGGGTGGGGGCAGTTTTATTGCCTTATTTTACATCTTCTATATATTTGATTGTCATTATGCCTCAATGAAGTTATTTATATAGTATTCTATATTTTATTTCTAAGTTTGTAAATTAATTGTACTATATGGACGCTGAAATTATTAGCTGGATACAAAATATACTAAGGAGGGATAAGGACAGCCTTCCTTTGTGAAGTTGCCCCCTCCCAACTACGTTGCGTTCCAGCCATCTACGCTGCGTTCCAACTACATGCCGTCATGGCGATGCAAGCGGAAATTAAATCAGGTATCCTGAAATATTGCAGCAGAATTGAAATTATCAGGAAACTGGATAAAGTGTAAAATTTTATGTTGCCACACTCGTTCCTTTTCCATGATTCCTTTTGTTTCAGTTGGTCCCTGCAGGCAGTTGCTCAAGACTTCTGCCTTTTCTTGCAGGTAAGTGCTGTATGTGTTTTATTATGGTTCATTTAGCAGACATTAGGCAGTTAGAGTAGAACCTGCCTAATATGGGGTGCATTGACATTGTGGCAGTCTTATGCAATGTATGATCATATAATGTAACTAAATCCCCATAGTTTTTCACATATAGTTCTTAGTTTTGTCTCCTCTTGTTTTGCCTATTATATCTTGTCTTGTTT